CCTGCTCTTCTTTCGAGGGCAATGCAAGCACCATAAGCGTCGACATGGTTTCGATAGAGTGCGCGTCAGATTACGTCACAGCAATGCGAGAAAAACTTGGGGCTTCCCCGTACATTTTGCAGATAAACTTCCAAGATAAAAACTGCTCCACTTTCGCCTTCGGCTACGGGTCCCCCGCTTCTGGCAATTGCGAGAGCTCTTTCAACCAGACAGACGGCTACTATGTCATCGGCAGACTCAACTCCAACGGATCCACCTCAGTGAATAATTTTCAGCGGATTCCTGCTATTCGGATTCCTGGTTTACGACACGAAACGCAAGCCAGGAGACCCTATCGAGGCATTCGTGCGACGCCAACCAATTCAAATGGTACAGCAGCAACGACGATAAGGACAACTCTGGCCGCAACGGACTTACGTTAACACCCAATGCTCTCATCGGGGTTGGCTTTGGATTTATCGCCCTCGTGATTGGAAGCGTGACTTTCGTATTTTTCAGACGCTATTTGAAGGTAAAGAGGATTGAAGGACAGTCGAAGTGGCCGACAGGACCGTCCGAAGCTGTGAGCTTAAATATAGTCGTGTTGCACGGCCAGCATGGACTCTGGAACGACGATGTTATCACGACAAAAAGACTACCAAGGGACAGAATTCTGGTCAAGAAGCTCATCAGTCGAGGGGCGTATGGCGAAGTTCACGCTGGATTATTCAACGGCCACCTAGTTGCCATCAAGAGGTTGCTACCTGCTTCAAGGGGAAGCCTCGAATATGTCAACGAATTCCTCGCGGAAGCGAAAATGACCGCTACGTTGGACCACCCTCACATCGTGACATTTATTGGCGTTGCGTGGGAGTCGCTCTCTGACCTCTGTGTCGTCCTGGAGCTCATGGAAGGCAGCGATCTCAGATCGCTTCTTTACAAATACCAAGCTTCTAAGCGCCCGGTGGGATTCGACAAGCAGAAGATCTCGATTGCGCTCAATGTTTGCCAGGCGTTGACGTATCTCCACTCGCTTTTTCCTCCCATTATCCACCGAGATCTCAAGTCGAGAAATGTTCTGCTGGATGGCGACATGAAGGCGAAGCTATCGGACTTTGGAATCTTCCGCGAGCGTCTTGATCGCACTATGACTGCTTGTGTGGGCACATCACTCTGGATGGCCCCAGAGGTGATGCTCGGAGAGAGATACGACGTCAAGGCCGACATGTTTTCGTTCGGTGTCGTCTTGTCGGAGTTAATTGTTCATACCATGCCGTACGCAAGCGTTTCGAGAGAAGCTTGGTCTCGAACGGGCGTAAGATGGCAGGCGTGGCTCTGTTCCAGAAAATAGCATTAGGAACAGTACAGGTTGATTTTTCGGATTCTAGTCCGCGATCCATTGTGGAACTTGGACGTGCATGCATGAGAATCGATCCAACTGCGCGACCGAGCGCCGCTGAGGCGATGTACATGCTTCAAGTTATCATAGCCCGCATGGAATAGGAAGAAAGTACTCGCGTTCTGGAGCTACAGGTATTTTCGCAACACGTCAAATTTAGTGCATATTATTCAGGCTCACTTGCACGTACAGTAATAGATAGCTTTAGTTTTTGATATCTGGACTACTATCAGAAACAAAAGTTCTCTACTATTCCGTGGAGGTCCAGAAACTAATAGTAAGTACATGCTGTAGTATTACCGGTATTCAAGTTTACTATCGCAACGATTTTGGAGCAACAATTGTCAGAAAAAGGGTCAAATCCGATGGTCCAAAAATAAATTCCACCAGCAAAAGCTCTCTTTTATTACGTGCAAGGCCAGAAACTAATATTTTGTGGATGCTGTAGTATTACAGTGACTCTTCGTTTTTCCACTGACACAAAGTAAGGAACTATTAATAATCTATCCGCCATGTTTTCGGATTTCATACGGAAAATTACCAAAACGACCATGTGCTTGCTCTCTTGCTGGCATGAATGGTGTAATAAAAGTACCAGCTGGAGGAAAGTCATATGCTTCACGTGACGACGCTAACAATTCTTTCTTTCCGCTCCAGACTTGGTTGTGGCGAGAGCTACTGCTGTTAGCAGGGGCTTGGCACAGTAGTACCGATAAGCCAAGGTGACAGCCAAGATGTACTCGGTTTTTTCTTCTTACTTGGGTGACGGATGTGACGGCACTCCGTACCTCGTTAGCATAGCGGAAGATAAGAACTGCACTTCTAGTTCATGCGAAGTGCTGGTGACAAGTGAATGCTCGACGGACTACCTACAGACCACGCGTGACAAATTTGGAAGCTCGCCTTATTTGATTCAACTACTTTATTCTGACGAGAACAGCTCCAATCTCATTATGGGCTTTGGATACCCTGCCACTGGGTCGTGTGTTGGAGCTTACAACGAATCCGACAGTCTCTATGTCATCGCCAACCTCAACGAGAATGGATCAGCTTTGTATCAGGAATTTCTCGCGCGGACTTGCTTTTTCGAGCAGCTTTACATGACAGAACACATCGACGCGAACACTATCGCTGGTCACTCGTGCGACGTTAATGTGAAGCGACACAAATGAGACGCCAACCTATAAATACCCTCATAATACAGCCGAACACACTCGTCTTCTTATGCCGATACTGCATGATCATCTTCGGTCTCGATACCGTCGCTTAAAGCTTGTCCACAAACACCAAGATGTTTGGGTCTTCTAAACGGTGGTTGGAGACATGATTCTCGTTGACTACTTTTGACGAGGTTTTGTGATTGTGTTTGACGTCGAAGCCGGTGATTCGCAC